TAAATTATTAACAACAGCGATATGTTCTGTCTGTAAACAACAACCAACTTGCTTTATAAGGGAGAGAAGATTGTGAACGGGTCAACAGACAGGGAGTATACTAGGATAAGAGAATAATAGAAGGGATGATGTTTCAAATCGGGAGTTGCGACAAAGGATTGAAGGGGGGAATTATATAAGGGAATTGCAAAGATATATACAGTATTGCATTGGCGACGGGAAGGGTGTGAAGGGGATTATTTTCATTTTGGGATAACTTTCTGAGGCTGTAGAGGGTGTAGAATGTTTGTCAGGTATCAAAAAATGGAATACTAAACTGAATAAATAATTATTTTCGAATTATTATTCCACACTAGTATACATTATGTATATAATAATTCCTCAGTCAGTATGACTTAAGGCTTTAGAAACATACATACATACATGCACATATTTTGTTCGCGATTCGTCTGATTTGTTTTCTTTTAAAACAAAATTAAAAACTTACCTATTACTAGAATGTTAACTTGCTTTATTTCCTCACCTAGCGCCTTTGATAATTTTTTGAATTGGCGCTATATAATAATTTTATTATTATTATTATTATTATTATTATTATTATTATTATTATTATTATTATTATTATTATTATTATTATTATTATTATTATTATTTTATATGTATATGTATATGAATATGTATATGTATATGTATACGTATATATATAAACATGTATATATATACTTACATATACATATATTTGTTAAAAATCTACAGGGTAGCCTACGATATTCCATCATGTTTTTATTTAAACACTGTATATGTACCTTTGATGATTAATATTATATATATATATATACATATACATATATACATATACATACATATACATATATATAGACATATACGAGACAAGGCGAGTTGAATGGCCGAGCGGCTAAGGGAGGCGCCGCTACCTATAGCCATAACATTCGGCGCTGGTTCGAACGGCACGCTCGCCTATGGTTCCGGAGGTGGAACAAGTCTTCTCGGATAAGGACTTTAAACCGTAGGCCCAGTGTATACATTTGGCTCGTGTGCACTTTAAAGAATCTTTCGCGAAGAGTAGGGGGTTACCCCGATGTACTGGTACATTCATTCAGCCTCTCCTGCGTCCTAGCTGGTGCCAAACGTAGTGCACCCTTGCACTCCTTTGGACCCCACCAGTGATGGAAATAGAGGGGGATTCTGACGCATGGGCAACCCAGGATCTCCAAATTCACTGGCCAGGCACGCCATCGTTCATGGCGTATAGCATCGTCTTTCGAGACAGCTGGCCTATATATATATATATAGACAGATAGATAGATAGATAGATAGATAGATAGATAGATAGATAGATAGATAGATAGATAGATAGATAGATAGATAGATAGATAGATATAGATAGATAGATAGATAGATAGATAGATAGATAGATAGATAGATAGATAGATAGATAGATAGATAGATAGATAGATAGATAGATAGATAGATAGATAGATAGATAGATAGATAGATAGATAGATTTTCTCCCGATCTCATTCATATTTGATCCTTTCACATGTGTTCTGTGTGCTCTACGATGACCAACGTTCAAATCATATCAGCGGAGTATCCAAAAGCTAGCGTCTTGGTTAGGTAATCATGTCCACATTCCCATGCCCCCTACCTTGCTTTGCAATTTTGTTGCATATCTATACGGTGAAAACTACGCACCAAGACCATTTCTTCAGCCATCTCATCAGCTGCCTTCATTCACAAGCTTGTCGGTTATTCCGATCCAGGTAGTACTTTCTTTGTTCCAAAGATACTACGTGGTGTTCACACTGTTTCCGATGCGTCTACCCATAACTGCCGATATTTCAGTAAGGCTATTAGCGTCGTTGGAGTCTGTTGAGCCAATTTTTGGTTATAGGTTATACTGCGTGCAGTTTTCCTCGCTGCGTTGTATCTTGCGGATGGGCGAATTTGGCGGTGCGTAAGGGGTGCTGACAAGGTAAACGTCAAGATCTCACTATTTCCAGTACCTTGGCCTCCTTGACCATACGTCATCACAAAACCGGAGTGGGCAAGTCCCCTGTCCATATTTCTTTCAAAGCTAAAGATGGCAACCGTTTCTGTCCGGTTCAGGCCTTACATGATTACACCAAACATTTCGGCCATAATTCCGGACCACATATGGACGGCAGACACATTACAACCCAGTTCGTGTCCGCAAAGTTGAAAGAAGCGATCAAAGTTATTGGTCTTGACCCTTCTCGGTATAAAGACCACAGTTTCCTGATTGGTGTTGCTTCTCTCGGTCAGTCTGAAAACACAATTCAACAGTTCGGTCGGTGGTCTTCTTCGGCTGTTAAGAGTTACATTCGGAACCAATCATTACTTTACATAATTTCGATTCTGGTACCGTTTGAGCAGGTACTCACGTTCCGGTATCACTCATGTTTTTTTAGTTGGATGGGTCAGTGCAGCATCTGTCTCTTATACACATCTAGATGTGTATAAGAGACAGCATATATACATATACATACATATACATATATATAGA